TTATTCACTATGTAAGAATTCGTTCACCATGTAAGAATTTGTTCGTTATGCTTCAGAAGACTGGAGACTGACGAGAATTAGGCTTGAGATGGATTAATGATTGTGCATTGAGCATTGACCCCCCTATACTGAATTTTATTGTTGTTAACAACCATTTGATCAATAAATATGAGAGATGCCCTCTCAAAAAAAAAATGCAAATATTCAAATTCACTGAATAATAACTTTTCCGTTTAAAAAGATGGACATTCCAACAAAAAAATTAATCAATGATACCTGGCATAAAAATGCAGCAACTATGTGTTAGTGCTCTGTGAGAAACCAGACATTTCTATTGTAATGAAGCAATGATGTTGAAAATCTTAAAAACAAAAATGACCTAAATCAACTACCTAAAAGTCTCTGAATCAGGAATATGTTCTTTCATTCTTCTGATCAATAATCAACAAAAACAAACATACAGATTTGGAAAGGTATTCATGATTTGAAACATCCTGTAGATATCCTATTCTTCAAGAACACAAAAAATGAAAAAACTACTGTACTTAGAAAATACTTACTTTCAACACTGGACAAAGTACAGGGACTACCATCAATCAAAGCTAAATGAAAATGCTGTAAAAAAAAAGAAGGGAAATATTACTGCACTAAATTTCGGATTGCATATAGTCAATTTCCTATATTTAAAATTTTTAACATCTCACATAGAATGAAATCATGTTATATAACACACAGTAGCCAATGAAATAAAATTATATTATTTAGAATTTATTTTGGAGAGGCTACCAAGTCATTACCATGGAGATAAGAATGGACAATGTGTTTAGTTATACTTTATCACTTTTTATGACACAAAAATAAAATTCATGCCGATACAGTACTCAAGAAAAAAAATTTATCGAAATGGTAAATGAAATGTGTTTCAAGTCATCATGTAAGAATTTGCAAAGTTGAACCTAACCAAAGAAATGAAATACCTATTCCCTGAAAACAAGACTCTCACAAGAGAAATTAAAGAAGATACCAATAAATGGAAACACATCCTGGGCTCATGGATAGGAAGAATTAGTATTGTCAAAATGGCCATCCTGTTTAAAGCAATCTACAGATTCAATGCAATTCCTATTAAAACACCAACAGTATTCTTCAACGAACTAGAGAAAATCGTTCTAAAATTCATATGGAACCACAAAGGACCCTGAATAGCCAAAGCAATCCTGAGAAGGAATAAAGCGGGGGGCATTATACTCACCAGCTTCAATCTCTATTAGAAATCACAATAATCAAGATACTGGCACAAGAACAGACACATAGACCAACGGAATAGATGAGAAGATATAAACCCAAGCATATATGCTCAATTAATGTATAATAAAGGAGCCATAGAAAGACAAAAATGGGGAAATGACACCTCCTCAACAACTGGTGTTGGCAAAACCAGACAACCAAATGCAAGAGAATGAAACTGGATTATTGTCTAATCCCATACACAAAGTAAACTCGAAATGGATCATAGACCTGAATCTAAGTCATGACACCATAAAACTGTTAAGACAGCATAGGCAAAAATATCCTGAATATAAACATGGGCAACTTTATTCTGAACACAAATCCTTGAGCATGAACACAACTCCTCGAGCATGTTCAAAAGCAAAAATGAACACATGGGACTACATCAGAACAAAGACGCTTCCTACAATACGGGAGAATATAGTTGTAATTCACGTATCTAATAAGGGGTTAATATACAAAATATATAAAGAACTCACGGGCCTCTACCACCAAAAAGCAAATAACCCAATTTAAAAAATGAGCAGAGGATATGAACCAACACTCCTCCAAAGAAGAAATTCAGATGGCCAACAGAAACATGAAAAGATGCTCCATGTCGCAAATTATCAGGGAAATGCAAATTAAAACCATAATAAGATGTCACCTCACAGCAGTTAGGATGGCCAGCACGGAGAAGACTAAAAACAACAAGTACTAGCAAGGATGCATAGAAAGGGGAACCCTCCTACACTGCTGGTGGGAATGTACATGAATTCAACCATTGTGGAAAGCAATATGGATGTTCCACAAAAACCTAAAAATAGACATACCATTTGACGGGAATGCCACTCCTAGGAATTTACCCAAAGACAACAACTCATATTCAAAAAGCCATGTGCACCCCTATGTTTACACAGCACTGTTTGCAATAGCCAATATACGGAAGTAACTTAAATGTCCATCAGTACATGAATGGATAAAGAAGTGGTACATGTACACAACAGAATACTACTCAGCCATGTGAAAGAAACAGATCCTACCATTTGCAACAACAGATGGAGCAGGAGGGTATTGTGTTCAGTAAAGTACGTCAGGCAGAGAAAGGTAAATACCAACTGATTTCCCTCATTTGTGGAGTATACCAATGAAGCAAAACTGAAAAAGAAAACAGCAGCAGACTCACAGACTCCAATATGGGGTTAGTGGTTATCAAAGGAAGGAGTGGAGGAGGGTGGGTGGGGAGAGAGGGATAAGGAGATTTGGGGGTGATGTGATTGGTGCAGATGCTGTGTGTGGGGTCATGGGGAAGACAGTGTAGTAGAGAGAAGAAAAGTAGAGACTCTGCCATGTTACTACACTGATGGACAGTGACTGCAATGGGGTGGACAAGGGGACGCAATAATCAGGGTGAATTCAGCAACCACTTTGTTTTCCAGGAGAAACCTGCATAAGAGTGTGTACCAATGATAGTTTAATAATAAAAAAAAGAATCTGCAAGGTGTGACCATATCTTTTGGAGCATCAATGATGATCTCAAAATGAGACTTCAATTTTACAAACCAAAAAGCTAAGAAAATTACCTTAAAGAATAAAAGAAAAAGAAAAACGTCTGTTTCTATGGATTATTCAATATCACTGTATTTGAAGCCGTATTAGAACCATAATGCTACAGTATATATATATATATACAGCTCATGCACCTACTAGTCTGTGAAATATAGATGTTCTCTTAAAAGATATGGGCAGAAAGAAGCCAAGATGGCAGCGTGAGTAGGTCAGTGGAAATTTCCTCCCAAAATGATACATATTTTTGAAAATACAATAAATACAACTATTCCTAAAAGACAGACCAGAAGATACAGCACAACAGTCAGGCTACATTTACATCTGCGAGAACTCGGCAAATCACGAAGGGGGTAAGATACAAGCCGCAGCCTGGTGCAACCCAAGCACTATCCCCACCCCAGGGTACCAGAGGGAGAAGAGGAGTCAGAGAGGGGAGAGAGTGATAGGACTCCTAAATACCCAGCCCTAGTCATCTGCACCAAGAATGCAGACACACATTGTGTGGGGTGCTGCATATTAGGAAACAGAAAAGCAAAATCTGTGAGCAGGTTGCCACAACTGGCTCCCCTGGGACAAAAGAAAACAGAGTGCTTTATGAAAGTCTTAAAGGGACAGGGGCATCACAACTGGACAGAATTGTACAGGCACACTCAGCCCAGCAGCTGAGAATGCAGGGGAACTCCAGGCGCACTGACATCCTGGATGGTATCGCAGCTCTGAAGCCCTTCAAGGTGAGAAAGAGCCTCCCAGTCAGCAAGGCCTAAGTCAGAAAGAGCCCTAAGGCAGCAAGGCCCCTGAAACACTGGCCCAGCAGCATGAGAGCAGCTGCACATGATCATGGCAGGGAGCAGCTGCGTACAACTGAGGCAGGGGCGGAGTGCCATGGAAGGGGACATGTGAACCACCAGAAGCAGCAGAGTGACCCTGGAGGGGCTACGTGCCAGAGGAAGCAATGGAGCATCAGGGACTGGCAACGTGTGCCCACAGAAGTAGCAGACCAGCCTGGGAGTGACTGAGCCCCCCAGAAGCCACCCAGGGCACAGCCAACCAGGCCAGATCCAAAGACTGCCACTGGCACACCGCTGCCCTAAACAGGCAGAGGAGCACCACTCTGACAGGAGAGAACACCCACTAGGCCTGCCACTCCCCTCAGGGCTCTGGGCTACCCTGACAGAGACCACCACCCACACCAACTTAGAGGATTAATCTAGAGGCTGTTCCAGGAGGGCGGGTAAATGACACAGGCAGCAGAGAAGAGCAAGGCAAGCAGCAAACAGGAAAGGGCTTTGTTCTCACAGCTGACACAGGTGTGACCTGCCTACAGCTATGTCTATCACCATGAAAAGGCAGAAGAATTTGGCACAGTCTGAATTACCTAGATAAACCCTGAGAGAGGGCCTGGAGAGATAGATTTAACCAATCTCCCTGAAAAAGAATTCAAAATGAAGGTGATAACCATGCTGATGGACCTGCAGAGCAATATGCAAGAGTTAAAGGATCAAGTGGGAGGGAAAATACAGAAATAAAACACTCTGGAAGGACTAAAAAGCAGAATACATGAGGTGCAAGAGGCCATTACTGAAACTGGAATCAGACAACAGGAACACAGAGAAGCTGAGGCAGAGAGAGAGATAAAAGGATCTCCAGGAATGAAACAATATTGAGAACTGGGTGACCAATCCAAACAGAACAATATTCGCATTATAGGGATACCAGAAGAAGAGAGAGAGAAAGGGATAGAAAGGATCTTTGAAGAAATAATTGCTGAAAACTTTCCCAAACTGGGGGAGGAAATAGTCTCTCAGACCATGGGGGCCAACAGAACTCCCAACACAAGGGACCCAAAGAGGACAACACCAAAACATATACTAATTAAAATGGCAAAGATCAAGGACAAGAACAAGTATCAAAGGCAACCAGAGAGAGAAAAAAGATCACCTACAAAGGAAAACTCATCAGGCTATTATCAGACTTCTCAAAAGAAACCTTACAGGCCAGAAGAGTATGGCATGATATATTTAATGCAATGAAACAGAAGGGCTTTGAAACAAGAATATGGTATCCAGCATGATTATCATTTAAATATGAAGGAGGGATTAAACAATTCCCAGACAAGCAAAAGTTGAGGGAATTTGCCTCCCACAAACCACCTCTGCAGGGTAATTTAAAGGGATTTCCCTGGATGGAATCACACCTAAGGCTAAACAGACAACAACAGAGAAAATAAAATCACACCAAAGAAAGCAGACAGGACAAATACTAACTAAAGGGAAAAAAATACATTCAACTACTCACAAAGCAGTAAAAGGAAATAAAAAAAGGGTATAAAATAAAACATGAAACATATAAAGAATGGAAAAGGATGAAGAAGGGAAAGAAATAACCATCAGACTGTGTTTATAAAAGCTTATTAAGAGAGTTAAATTAGACAGCTACACAGTAAAGAAGCTACCCTTGAACCTTTGCTAAACAAGAATCTAAAGCCTGCAATGGCAATAAGTACATATCTTTCAATAATCACCCTAAATGTAAATGGACTGACTGCGCAAATCAAAAGACACAGAGTAATAGAATGGATAAAAAAGCCCAGCCTATCTATCTTCTGCTTACAAGAGACTCACCTCAAACCCAAAGACATACACAGGGTAAAAGTCAACGGATGGAAAAGGACATTTCATGCAAACAATAGGGAGGAAGAACCAGGTGTTGCAGTATTCACATCAGACAAAATAGACTTCGAAAGAAAGAAACAAGAGATAAAGAAGGACATTACATAA